GCAAAAAGCATGGACTATAGCCATGGTTTTGATCGATTTTGGCCCATTTTCACACATTTTGAAAAAATATGCATTATTTATGAAAATTGCAAAATAGATCATTTTTGGCTATTTTTGGGCAAAAAGCATGGACTATAGCCCATGGTTTTGATTAATTTTGGCCCATATTCACACCTTTTTAAAAAATATGCATTATTTATAAAGAATGCAAAATAGGTCATTTTTGGGCAAAAAGCATGGACTATAGCCCATGGTTTTGATCGATTTTGGCCCATTTTAACACCTTTTGAAAAGATATGCATTATTAATGAAGGATGCAAAATAGGTCATTTTTGGCCATTTTCGAGCAAAAAGCATGGACAATAGCATATGGTTTTGATCAATTTTGGATGTTTTCACACATTTTTTGATAGGATGGGAAATTTATCCCTACTTGAAAATGGGTTATCTTTGGCCAAAATGCATGGACTATAGCCCATTGTTTTGATCGATTTCGTGTATTTATTACATCTTTTTTGTCTGAAAGACATATTTATTCCTACTTAAAAATGGGTGATTTTTGGCTAAAAAGCATGTTCGTCATATGTTTTATGGTTGAAATCACTCCCTCTTTATTAGTGGTGAAAAAGCTGCAGCTGTTTTCGTTTTTTTAGTGTGTACTTTATCTTTTAGGACTTAATTAACCAAACTCTCTTTTAGGATTTTTATCATCCCTACCAAGAGTAAAGGAGCTTAGAGAAGGAATTCCTGCACCCCATCATGCGCACTCTTTGATGCTATTTTTAGAATCTTTGATGCTATTTTTAGGATCATTTGATGGTTTGTTTTCATGCACTTGCACRCTCTCAACTGTTTGCCTTTTGTGTGTGTTTTTCAAAAGTAAACTTGAGCAAAGAGCATAGAGCGCAAGCATCATGTGATTCTAAAAATTGCATCAAATGGTGTATATGATGGTTACAAGCATGAATACCAGAGATTCCTTCTCTTAGTTCCTTTTCTCTTGTCCCTACCCATTTTATAAGGGAGGTACCTCCCAGGTCTTTTGTAGGATTTTTGAGGGTTTTTTACACCATTCATAAAATTATGAATCATTGAATTTAATTTAAAAACAATATTTAATAAACTTCATGAATTTAGAAATAGTTATTGTAATATGATAAATTGTCTGTTGAATACATTATTCATTATAGCTCATCCCTGGGCTCTTCCGGTGGTTTTATTTCTTCATTGCTTGTGCTGTCATCTTGTTTGGCATCATCTACATTATCTTTAACATCATCATCATCGTCATCATCATCATGTCCATCATCATCCTCCTCATCATCTTCATCAGACTCTTCCTCAACTCTTTTCACCTTTGAATCTGAAGTGGAAATTTTATGATCAAATTTTCTGTGAGAATAACTCTTTTTCTTCCAAATAAATAAATCTGACCTAAAAAAGCTCCTGAAAACTCATGTTTTTTAACTGAAATCTTTTAGAGTTGGATGTGGTAATAATAATAGTAATATAGTTGAATGCATTAGAAAGAGAAAGAACAAGAGATGAAGAGAAGATTGAAGACGACGACGATGATGATAGTCAAGATGTGCAAGAGCCACGCTAGATTGCCTCTAGAATGGGTCCCCCCTCATTTGCTGCTGAACAAGCAATTATTATAAAGCTAGTTTACAATGTAAGGCATGATGACCCCTACAACTAGGGCTCCCTAAGGAAGGAGAAGAAAAGGCTTGCCCCTAGCACTAGGGTCACCCTACCTTCATGTGAACCACAATTATATAACCTTATGAACAGGAAGGTGAACCAGTTAGCATGCCATGAGAAGAGGATAAATAATCATTTATTAATATTTTTACTAAATCCACTTATAATTAGCAAGATGGGTCATTTTATTTTTAGTTTTTCTTGGGTGTTTATTTATTTGCTTTTGTTGTGCTTAACCAAAGAACCATAAAAATTAACTGTTAACTTTGTTTCCATAGTTTTACAGTTACTGGGAAAATGTGCCCTTTATCTGACTTGTCCATCTTAAGACACGCCTAAAACTTTAAGGATTTTTTTCTAGAAATTATTTAAGTGTTAACATTAACAGGTGCGTCTTGAGAAAGTATAAAATAGCCCTTTTCCTAACCATAACTCAAGATATTTACATAGAAAAGCATGCACTTAATTGCCCCCCCCC